TACAATACAATACAATACAATACAATACAATACAATACAATACAATATTTGGAGGCAAGGATGCTTGAGCTCTGGAGGAAAAAAAAGAGAGAGACAATCGGTCTGATAGAGTGAGGGCCTTCAAGTCACTATTGGCTCCTTGGGACTGCCTGGACAAGCCCCTGTGGATGCTCTTGCCTTCTTCCTGGGGTCTAGAGAGAATGACTGGCTCTTAAGTCGTCCAGCTGATTTTGTGCCTAAGGGAGGATTAAAGTTCACAAAACTCCCTGTGTTTTAGCCTGGTGCCTTAATCCTCTATACCAAGCCGGCTCTCCATAATCGAAGAGCAAATAGAGTAAATCTTCACCAAACACCTTGCCGAAAGAGAATGTCTGGAAGGAGACCAGGAGGGCAGAAAAAATGGGTCTGAGAGGGTCAGAGCCAGTTTGGAATGCCCTTTGCCCCCTTCCTTCAGTTGCCTATAGGATCCATTTCCTGCTGTATTCCATGCTTGTCTTTATTTTTCGCCATGCCTACACTGCTTTTCTGTGTATCTGACTCTATTCTCCTTTCTGTTTCTCCTTCTTCTTCTCCTTTCCATGTCCTCAACCGCTTTGCTTCTGTGCCACCTGCATATCTACCTATTGGCTTGGCTGGGTTTCCCCATCCCAGATGTTGCCTTCACCCAAAATCCTTTTATGCAAGACTCCTGACTCTACTCCCTAATGCCTACCCAGTGGTTCTCCATCTCATTTGCTATTATCCAGCCTTCCTCTCTGCGTTTGCAGCCTTCTGCCAACTCTGCTCCATCCTGCCCAACCTGTTTTCATCTTCTTCTCCAGCTCCTTGCCATCTTCCGTGTCTCTACCTCCTCCCCAGTGGTGGGATTCAAATTTTTTTACTACCAGTTCTGTGGGCGTGGCATGGCTTGGTGGGTGTGGCAGGGGAAGGATACTGCAAAATCCCCATTCCCTCCCCACCCCACTAACCTGCTTTCCAGCTCCATTCTCCTGTGCAGGGCAACCAAAGAAGACCCAGCCAATCAGCTGGGACTCGAGAGGCAGAGAATAGATAGGGGCAGGTCCAGTCAGAATAGAATCGAATCGAATCGAATAGAATAGAATAGAATAGAATAGAATAGAATAGAATAGAATAGA